GGCTGGAGCGCCAGGGAGGTGCGGGAGGGGGACTGTCTCGGAGACAGAGGCACAGCAGAGGTCAGGGAGCAGGGCAAGGGCAGGCTCGGGGCGGAGGGAGCCCAGTGGGCAGCCTCTCTGAGGAAGGAGTGGGCCCGGAGAGCAGGCCTTCCCAGGGAAGGGAAGGGAAGGTGGGCAGAGTCAAGAGCAGGAAAGAGGCCAGTGATATCTGGGCGGGGGGTGGGGGGGGGGGCATCTAGGTGAATTTTACCTCCTTTATACTTTTCTAATTTGGGGGGCAAAGATATGATATCCAGGGTGGGGCAAAAGGAGATCTACAGTTGTTCATATGAAAATAATACAATTAATAAATAATAGTACAAGAATAAGCTGTTTTGAATACTCACAATTGTAAACCTATTTTGCCCTCCCTACATTTTGTCTGAGAACAAAATCATGATATTAGTAATAATAGTGTTAGTAGCATCCATCAATGGCTTTATTTCTGGGGCAGAAGCAGCAGCTGGAGCTTCCAGACCTCTCGGAGTCTCTTGTGAATGAACAAGTCTGAAGAGAGGTAACTCATCTTTGCCTCGAGCCATGAGTGGGCCCGTGTGCTCCAAGCCCCTCATCGTGACTGCAGGGCCCAGCGTGACCCCTCCCGCCAGCAGCTGAAGCCCCCTGTGCTCGCGTGGGAACAGAAACCCAATGGGCATTCATGACAAGTGACCAACGCCCCCCTCCGCCCCCCCCCCCCCCGGGCCCGGCAAGAAAACACAAAAACCTGGACGGGGGGCGGGGAGCCATAGTCTTTCTTTATTAGAAAGAGGCCTCTACTCTAGCCACCTCTTCCATACTTTACACTTTTGTCTTTTTCTCTGTTTTCCCCTTAGAATACTGTACAGCTGACACAGAAATCCCAAGGCAGGAAAATACAAACTGGCATATTTAATCAAAACAAGATCATATGGAGCAACAAGCAAAATGAAATGTCTGTCGATGGTTTTAATTACAGTACAAACAATATAAATAAAGCGTCATTGAGTCATTGTGAAACATAAACTTGCTGAATGAGGTAATATAAAAACAACCCAAACCAAGAAGACAGCCACCCCGGCGACCCCAGGCTGCTCCTCCGCTTCCTATACACGTTATTTACAGAAACAGGAACGCGTGCTCCCGGCCCCGCTCCCTCCCAGGCCGCCTCTCGGTTGTCACCTGCACCTGCTGGTCCAGAAACACACCTGTGGCCGGAGGAGGACCCAGTGCAGAGTCCCGGGCAGCAGGGTGGGGGCTGTCTGGGCCCGGAGGCCCCTCCCCGCAGCCACGTGGTGTGTTTGTGGCCGGCGTGGCCCACTCCTCCGGCCCTTTCCGGGGCAGCCAGCCCGTGCCCTCGGATCGAGTGCACACGGCACCCTCCTCAGCATGCAGGTGCCCAGGCCGGACCGGGTCGCAACCTCCAGAACTTGATACGTATTAGACACAAAAACCCGGGCGGGGAGGGAAACTGGGATGCTTTTCACGGTCCCGGAGGCATCGTTTCTCACATTGAGACGCGTGGCCTGTGCTAGAGCAGTTCCTAACGTACCGCTGTCTGTCGACGGGAACGGCCCCAATCCTCACTCCAGCCCGCCTGTGCACCCCAAGTCAGCGGGGAGAAGGCTGCCGGGACCCCAGGGGTGGGGCCGGGAGGTGCAGGGTGTGCTCACGGGGAGCTGGATCCCAGTCTGGCCACAGGTCACCCACCCTGGACCCATCCTCTGACCACCCACTCCCAAGGACCCAGGCCGGACAGACAGCGCCCGGCGACTCTGGAATGTCAGGTGGGGAGCCCATCACTCGGGATTTCTACACACAGGTGTGAGGACGGGGGGTGGGGGGGTAGATCCAGGAAGTCCACACTGCGCCCAAACTCCTTTAATTTACAAGAACCACCACTCACGGAGTGAGCTTCCAGGGCGTGTGAGCTCCTTTTACAAGAGTTCTGGAACCAGCTCAGACACCAGCTTCCAGCCGCTGTGCTCACCGACTGGCTCGGGGAGGTGAGGGCAGTTTGATTCGAGGCAGCTGTTCCGACAGCTGGGGTGTTAAGGGGGCCTGTTCCCCTGGGAGAGTCCCCAACACCTGGTTTGGTTCCTTTCTTTCACCTGCATCTCGAGACAAAGGCCCTACACCTCCCACTGACAGAACTCCAGATCTGTCCGCGCACATGGCTTATCTCCACTCCCCGGAGGTGCCACATGCCAGGTCACAAGGAAAAACCAGTCCTGAGCCAACCCCTCGCACACTCACAAGGCATCTCGCTTGCACACACACCTGCCTGGAGGCCCATGTCTGTCTGTCTCACCAGGCAGCGCCTCCCGACACCCGCAGCCCCAGTGCCACGCCGGGCTCTGTGGGACACACCTGCCCGACCTGCCCACGCCTGGCACCAAAGCCCTTTGATGGGAGGAAGGCCTCACAAAAGAGCATTTACCCACCAGGCAAACCCCCAGAACCAAATGCTGCCATTTGAGAGCAAACGAGCAGCTCCTAACGGAAGCGAGGTGGGGAGAGGTTTTCAAATCTACGGTCGCTGGTGGAACTGAAATTCTTCTAGGACCTGGGAGATCTAAAAATCCCGGATTACAGACAGACATTTTGGTTTCACAGAATCCTCTACTGATGAAACGTCCCTTAATTTTAACTTGGACCCAAACTGAAAAACCAAAACTGGAAAAAAAGTGTCAATCTGTCTTTTTTAAAAAAGCAGCAGACTTCCAAAATTAAAGAGGGAATCCATTGATCTTGTTTAAAAAATGGTTGAAGGACAGCATTTCTTCTCTAAGGGGAAGAACACGTGTTGTTGAAATAATAATGTGTAAATTGTTGCTTTCTCCTCGTGAGGGGAGAGGTGAGGGGTCTAACAGGCTGCGCTGACCCTGCACCGTCTGCAGTGACGGAGGTGGCGGCGCCCCGGGCTCAGTGCCTGCTTCCTGGCAGTGATGTCTGCGTCACCCCCAGGGCTCCCCGTTCTCTCTGGGAAGGAATCGGACACATGGACTAAAAGGCGGGCCCCCCAGTGCAGTAGGACACGGGGCGGAGGGGGCAGACCCGCCTCTCGGCAGGCCAGGCGGGTGGCTGGTCCCGCCCAGGAGCAGCACACCTGGGCCCTGGCCTGGCCGCCCTGGGGTGTGGCCCACACCAGACTCACTAACCACAGCTTCCCGCAGAGAGCACGAGGGAATCGAGATGAGAAAGACATGGCGATAATGGCCGAGGGCAAAAATGCAAGTCTTGTGCCAAAGGCCCTTATTTGGCTTTTTGGTGAAGGATGGGGGTGAAAATCACTCGGACACACGGCCCACAAGGTGCGAAGCCCGCCCACGCTGGAGGAGGGTCAGAAATAAACTAATTCCTGCGGAAGGAAGATGTGCATCTTCCGCACATTCTAGCTGAATTCCCTCCCAGCTGCTTTTCAATGTGTGTGCTTGAAGGACATAAGTACAACCCAGGGGAGTTCTAGGAAAGTCGCACCGGCCTTGCGGGCGTGTGTGTGTGTGTGTGTGTGTGTGTGTGTGTGTGTGAGAGAGAGAGAGAGAGAGAGAGAGAGAGAGAGAGAGAGAGCGCGCGAGCAGAGGTGGGGGCGGGAAGCAGCCCATGGAGTAACGGATCTGCTTCCGATTCTGCCTTTTGAGAAGTGTCTGGGACTTCACCACACTCTTAGAGCAGCTACATGTTGCCAGGCTTCTGAGCCTCCCTAGGCGGGAATGTGGATGTCCTCCTGGTTTCCAGAACATTCTAAATGCAAGGAGAAAGGGCTGGCAGAGTTGGAGCCATGGGGACCCATGTCAATCCATGAGCGAAGCTGGGAGGGGGGATGGACAGGACCCGTTGGCAACTCGAGGGGGAAGATGCGACCGCCAGGTGCAGGCACAAGACAAGTGAACAATGGGAAGGCAGCCCCAGAGGTGATGCCCAGGGAGGGAGAGGAGACAGTGAGGGCGGCAGCACCCAGAGCCACACCAGCCAGGGTGCCCTCCGCAGACCCCGACGTTCAGAGGAGGTAGAAGGACCCGGAAACGAGGACCACACAGGAGTGTGACACAGCAGCCTCCCGGCGCCCAGAGGTGGCATCTGAAGGGAGGGGCCTGTCCACGCCAGCCACACAACGGGGAGCAGGGGACAGGGGGTCATCTTGGGCCTAAGGCAACATTACGAGTGGCACAGGGTAAGGCTCCACCCTTGCTTTGCCTCTGGAAGATCAATCTCGGACTGAAGAGACGGAGGGTACAATTTGGTAAGTGGGGCTGCCGAGATAGTAACTGGGCAGTTTGGGCTCATCCCCCTGGGGAGAGGGCCTTCGGGGGCAGGGGCCTCTGAGCAGCAACAGGCTCAGCAGAGAGAGGGTCAGAGGCTCACACGGAGGGGGGTACAGGTGCGTCACCAGCTCCCAAGGACACGGCGCCAGCTCGGGCAGCTCTCCGGGCCTGTGCTCTGGCTTTGGTCCTACCCACCTCTCAGTTCTTACTAAACACACCCATCTCTGAGCATCCAACCCCTGGCTGGGCATCGGGCTCCCATTCACCACGCTGGTCTGACATGTCACCACACCCTGCAAGGCCACCCAGTGCCAGATGAGGAAAGAGTGCGAAAAGCTGGAGGCGCGCCCGAGGCGGCACAGGTGTGACAGGAAGCGGTGACCCCGGTTGGCCTGACCCTGGGCTGGCTGTCTCGCTGGGCCGTGTTTTCCCTTATGGGGTCAGTGACGGCTTCTTTGCACATGTGGGGACTGACCCTGAATATGTGAGGACTCTGTAAACTGGGACAGACGGGGCTACGCTGGATGGCAGAGGCCGGTCCAAGTGGACTCCTCAGGCCAGACGAGACGTCAGGAGAGGGGCGGAAGGAGCGGAGGCCCTGCACCGCCCGACTCACGGCCCCGCAGGGAGGTGCTGACCTGGGACTCCAGGTCAGTAAGAGCTGCCCTCTCTGGGCCCTGCAGCCCCGTGACCAGCAAGCACCTGTCGCCGTCACCGCTGTCGGGGATAATCACACACAGTGTGTGCTCACCAGACGACAGGAAACTGCACCTGCCGGGGCACCGAGGACCCGTGAGCATGTCACTCACTCACCCTCAGGCTGCTCACCTCCCGGGAGGACAGGAAATCAAAGGGACAGGGGACCACGACTAGGGTTCTGGGCTTCGGAAACCGTCTGTCCACCCTGGTCCTCAAGGCTCACCCACGCCGGGTCAGAATCAAGGCTACTTCCTCTGCGGGGTTTTCTTCGCCGCGAAAGGAACCCAGCGAGGCCACCGCGGCCACCCTCACGAGCGACCACCTGCCCTTCTCCAGCGGCGGTTTCTCCTCCAAGGGAAAACGTGAATTCTGAGCAGGAAGGGCGTGTGGGTTCTCACGGCACCGTCACTTCATAGGACGCACAAGGACACAAACAATGCAAACTCAGGCCCCGTCCCAAACTGGTTCTTCCTGACACCAGCCTGGTCCTTGCTGCCCAGCCCGGGGGTTAGTGAGGCTCTCAGCCGGGTCGACAGCGCTGTCGGCAAAGGGCTTCTAGTCTGACACCGAGATACAAACATTAGCTACCCGTCACCTGGGCCGGGAAACAAAACCCTGGGGACCCACGGATGCCTTTCCTCTGTTGCCCAAACTCAAGAAAGCAGGCTGCCCCCTGGAGCCACCACCGTCGTCGAAAAGAGCAGAAGAGGGGCGGAGTTTTCCCAGGAGGAACCGTGAGGTCCCCGTGCTGGAGGGAGGGAAGGGGGAGAACCAATCTAGCATTCGGGCCGTGAAAGGCTGTGAAAAAACAAGTCATTTGGGAAAATATTATATTATAAACACATATAATCATATGTACATACTCATATACATCCCAAGAGAAGCCTGACGAGGAATCCCCTTTCCTTTCAGAAGGCTTCACTGTGATAAAGCATCCCTACAGTGGGGACTCACTACGATGAAATAACTTAAGAATTTCATTTATACTCTATCTGTGCTCACTACATACAGTCTGTGCTAGCGGCTGCGTGGAGGCTAATGTGTGGAGCTGGGCTAGGACAGTGCCGCTTCTTCAAAAACAGGCAAGGACTTTTCTTCCTATTCGCGTTTACCACCACCGCACAGCGGCGGCGCACAGCCCTGAACTCGGCGGAGGGACCCCGGGCCTGCTGTCTGCACCTGGCCTTTGTGGAAACGGCCACGTTCCCCGGAGCTGAAGGGAGCTTACAGGTGCCCACGGAACACTGGCCTCCATATAACTTCTGTATAAAGCTTTATTTATTCCCACCTACTTTAATTTTTTTTAAAAAAAAGTGAAAGAAGAGGAAAAACTCTTACAAAATAGAAGATTTAATATAGGAGAGCAAGGAATGTCCTGAGGCTGCCGGGCGAACGTGGTCCTGTGGTCCTGGGCCAGGTCAGCCCGTGTCCCCTGCCACGCGCCAACCCTCTTCCCCTGCCACACTGCCCCTGGACTCCGGGCACACCCCGCCCCTTTCCTTTTTAACCCAGGGTGTCCAGATTTGCATTACTGTGTTTAGCCACCATGCTGGAGGTGGCTGAAGCCTGAAGCAGCCTGATCCCATGATGACACTCAGGGGCCATACTGAAATGGACGGCCTGGCCACCAAGTCAGCCTTAGGGATTCTTGTGGGCCGGTCTGTGCCACAGAACCATCGGTGGGGGTCCCCGTCTACCACTGCCAAGCACCGGGTCTGGCATTTGGGAAATCGTGCCCTGCCTGGCAGAGCCCCTCCCCCTGGCCAGCAAAAGCGGTCTCAGATCTAAGTCATGCTTCCCACAGTGAGGGCTCACATGCCCCCTCCCCGCTCTCTAATAGGCTTGGGCCTTTTTTTTTTTTCTCTCTTTCTCGATTTTAATAAGCAAATTGCACTACCATCTTATTCTGATGCGCCCCCTTTTCAAAGCTGTATATCACGTTAATGGAAGTGTTTACCGCTGCGAACACTCTCCATGTACAATGATCTGTAACCCGCTTATCTCAACTAGTTGCACATTATTAGTTCACATCCAGTTCCATTTATAAATTAACAGAGGTGCCATTCGTCTGTACAAAAATCAATGCATATTTATGAACTTCTTTTATTCCAATACATTTCCACACATCTCATCTGAAGACACAACGCGGGAGCCTGTGCGACTTGGGCAACGTGGCCCGGGAGTGACTGGGACCCAGACGTCCACCTTGGCAAAAGGACATAAAATCTCTCTCCTGTTCGGGGGGTGGGGGGCGCGTAGCTTTTTATGCATTTACCCGGCTTCCTAAATGCACCCGGCATGTCACTGTCGGCTGAAATTCGTGATTTCCTCCAGAATTTCTGAGTTGCTCTTATTTATTTTTCCCATTTTGTTTTTGCACCAAGGAGACTGCAGTCAAATACAACTCAGCAACTGATTTCCTCTCTTTGGACTGAAAAATTAAACATATACTAAATTATGACAGTGAATTTAGAAAGGAGGGCTCCAAGGGCTCGGAAGAACATGTCTGGGATAATATGATGCTTCTAAGAGTATTGCAATCACATCGCGGCAATCACCGGAGCGTGCTGCGTAACTGCCTCCTCGGCTAATATGCTTTCTTCCCGGTGATGACTAATCATGTTCTATTAAACAGCGGTAATGCTGCAAGAACTCAACTATACAAGTGTAATGAAGCCAGCATTCTCCCGGGACAGATTAGCTACAACTGATTTGACACATACCATCATAGGGGCTTCAGACCTGACAAACTCGGCTTGCTCCTGATTTATGCCGTCAAGCTCCTCGGAGAAGAGATGAGATAGATGCAAGTGTTCCGTTCGGTAGAGGTGAAATGTACTGATGTGCTTAACCGCCAGTTAAGGAGAGTTCCCGTCTCCTGCTGCTGCCTCCCCTCCCCCTCTGCCCATCCCTGCCCCTTGTGCCCAGCTCTGTCTCTAGGCCACGGGACCGGGGTCCCGCGCCGTGTGCTATCATCAACCGACCGAGGCCAGCCGGTCGCTCCTACTGTCGAGTGGGGGAGTTCATGGAAACGATCGATCCTGCAGCCTCCGGGCCTCGTCTTCGCCTCCGTGAGGGCTGTCCAGGTTCTGTGATTTCACTGCGGGTGAGGGAGGGCGGGTGGGTGGCAGGTGACCACCAGGAAGAGGGAGGGGTGGCGGGCGGGGGGCGCCGACGCCCCTCAGATGATGGTGGGCACCCGCCCGCTGCCGCTGTTCCGGTTATTGCTCTTCCGGGACAGGTTGGGGGTGGCCATGAGCACGAAGCGCTCGTCGGGGCAGCCGTACTGCAGCAGGACCTCGATGCACTCCTGGCTGGAGGCCTGCCGGGCATAGGCCAGCGCCGTGTTCCCGTGTGCGTCGCGGGCCATGACGTCCACCCCGTACTGCGGAGGCAACAGAGCCATGTTAGTGTCCCGGGGGAGGAGGCCAGGGCAGCCGAGGACGGGGACCGCCTGCCCGGTGTTGGAGGACAACCTGGCTCCGAGGTGCATGCTTCCAGGCAAGAATGTGCTTTTCCAACTCCAAGCCCCTCGTCTGTGCAACTGAAATGGACCACGGGTGACCCTAGTTTTGCTTTGTCTGTTTTGACCTTGCAATTGTAAACACAAAAAAACGATCATTCTAAAATCTCAGAGGCAGTTTGTTTTCATTGTGGGTCACACACAGTTAATACGTAAGAGCTAAGAAAAAATCGCCTATAATCTATCCACGGATAATCTTGGTTAATAGTTCCGCGTATTTCCTTCAAATGGTTTTCCTTTGGGTCTAAATGTGTAATTGCGGTAAAACTTACACAAGTAATGTGCATCTTTTTTCCCCCTTTACTGAACACTGTACTGGGATCATTTTCTCACATCATTAACAATTATGCAAAAGCATGACAGGTTATAGCCACCCGGTTCTCCTCCGCGTGAACTAACTCGGGCTCTGCCCTGGGCTGCCATGTGCTCTGTGTAACACTGTCATTGGCATACATTGTGCTGTGATGTGCGCTCTCACACTGATGTTTCTCAGGGTCTCTGATTACTAGATGCTGAGAAGACAGGGAGATACTAGGTTCACTGCACTAACACTTCCGCGGTTCTTGCTCTTGAAAAGGATGGCGGCCCTGGCCACGAGGCTTAGTTGGTTAGAGCATTGTCCCGATATGCCAAGGTTGCAGATTCAACCCCCCGTCAGGCACATACAAGGAGCAACCAATGAATGCATAAATAGGTGGAACAATGAATTGATGTTTTTCTCTCTCTTGCTTCCTTTCTCTAAAATCAATAAAGAAAGAAAGAAAGGAAACGGGTGGACCGATGCTGGCCAGGTGGCGCAGTTGTTTAGAGCGTAGTCCTATGCACCAAAAATTGCCTGTTTGAAACATGGATGTGAGAGCGAAACATTGATATGGGAGGTAACTGATTGATGCTTCTCTCTAAAAAAGAAAAATAATCAAATCAAATCAATAAAAAATCTATGTTTTTAAAAAAGGGTGGACTGACTTCCACTCCCAACAGTATTTAGGAATCTTGCCGGCATGGAGCGATGCAATTAAAAGGACTTTTGGAGGGAAGATGGTATGCAATTTGTTATGAAATTCTGCTCCCCTCCTCCCCGCGCAAGTCCATAGGGTGGAGCCCTAAACCCCAGCACTTCAGAATGTGACTGTACAGTCACACCTTGCTTCTCAAAGGTCTCCCATCTTGAACAATTCGGTTCCTGACCAAGTTGTTCACAGAGAAAATGTCTCGGTTGTCAACCAGACTTCAGTTTTTGACCTGACAATCCTTTTATGCTGATACCTCAGCATGACAAAAGGTGTTTCTCAGGCAACGAAGGAGAGACTGCCTTTGTTGCTTTCAAATCAACAATTAGCACAAGTTTAAAACATGAAGAGGCCATCAAGAGTGCTAATGTTGCTAAGGGTGTGAAAGAAACAATGATCACAGGCAAGTGAAAAACTGTTGTTGATTGAATAAAGGTGAGCCAGTGACCCAGTGACGCATTTTGGAGGCAGTGATATTTGAACAAGCAAAGACTGCATGCTGATCTGAAAGACACCCCTGGACCAAGTGCTGAAAGTGATTCCTTTGAGGCTAGGAGCGGTGGTTTGATAAATTTAAGAAAAAAAGTGTGTGTTTATAGGTTAAACAGTACGGGAGACATGTACTGTATATAAGAAAGGTTAAAACAGGGAATCAATCATTTGGGGGTCTGGAACAGATTAATTCAATTTATATTATTTTTAATGGGAAAAAATGATTTGGTTTCTGAACAAATCGCTTCTCGAACAGCCTTCTGGAATTAATTAAGTTCGAGAGCCAAGGTGCCGCTGTCTTTGGAGACAGGGCCTTCAGAGAGGTAATGAAGGTCATATGGGTGGGGCCCTAATCCAATAGGAATGGTGTCCTAAGAAGAGGAGGAGACACCAGGGATGCGCTCACACACAGGAAAGGCCCGTGAAGACACAGGGAGGGAAGGCATCTGCGACCTGGCCCTCATCTTGATCTGGGACTTTTGGCTTCGGCGACTGTGAGAAAATAAATTTCTGTTGTTGAAGTCCCCAGTCTGTGGTATTTGTTAGAGCAGCCCGAACTGACTAACACACAATTGTTACAGTGAAGCTGAACATTTGAGTGATTTTGATATCTGGGCATCTAATTCTCTCCCCATTCCAGCTTCATGACAAATGTTTTGTTGGGAATTAAAAAAATAATTTTCCCCAATAAAAATCAATCAGAATAGCCCAGACAAAGCCCTCTGACAAACTCCTACCACATCAAATCTCACAGTTTAGGGTCTACTATTTTTGTGTTATGTGAATAAAAAACCCCAACGTTGGTAATCCATTCAGTTTTTATCCTTCTTGTCTATCCCTACCTCCTAAAAAATAATGGGAGTTGTTTTGTGTGTGTGTATGTGTGTGTGTGGACAAAGACGAGAGACCCCCACCCACCATGATGGACCCAAAGGGGTACCCTAAAAGGTGAACGAAGAGTCCCCACCGGAGGACGGCACATCCACTGACTTCCTTCCTGCCTTTTTTCAGGAGGCCTCACACAGGTGAGCCCTCACGGCAGGAGCCTCCACACGGAGTCCTAGGTTCCCGACTGCTATTGCTGCCCACATCCAGGCTGGCACCCGTGGTGCCCACAGTGCCTCCGCCCCTGGCCGGGCAATCGGGCGACCTACCCAGATCAGGAGCTGCGCCAGGACCACGTTCCCCTTCCGGCAGGCCAGGTGCAGCGCCGTGCGGCCGTCGCCTTCCCCGCAGGTCTCGTTCACCTCGTCCCGGGAGCCGTGTGCCAGCAGCAGGATGACCGCCCGCAGGTCTTCGTCGGCCGTGGCCCGCAGCAGGTGCTGGCCCAGGGACAGCTCGGTGCAGGGCAGCGGGGCCAGGAAGAGCTTCTGTTCATACTTGGCCCGGATCCACCGCTCCTTCTCTTCCCTGCAAGAGGCAGGCATGGTCACAGTCAGGCAGGGCCACTGAGGCGGCACCCCGTCCCGGAACCCTGCTCACCAGGAAGCGTGGAAGGGGAAGAGAAACAATGGGAGACAAGTGTCTTTGCCAGCATGGGGAGGCCTGGGGGAGAAGTTCACCTCTGGTTCACAAAGTGGGGCACCCCACCAACAGCATCGGCACCCCGGGGGAACTAGTAGCAATGCAGGTCCCCAGGCCCCATGAATCAGAACCGCAGAGGAGGGTGTTTCAACTAGCCCGGCAGGCGGTTCTGATGCCCTGAGGTGTCAGTGCAGTGTAACTTAGCATTGCCCTGTCCATGGCCTTGAGCTCTCACTTGATTTCCTTTGCTTTCACTGCAGAGTTTGTGCCCCTGAGGAATCCCGCTCCTGCCCAGCACCCATCGGGCACCATGCAGGGCGGGTGCCACCGGCATGGAGGTTCATTCTCCCGTAAGGACAACGGTGAGTCAGGATTGAGGACGCTGGGCTGGAGTTGGGGCAGGATAGTGGTGGGCCGCCCAACCTGGTGTGACCTGCTCTTAGACCTCCCAGGAGTGAGGTCTCCTGGGGCTCTAGCCAGCGGTTCTCAACCTGTGGGTCGCGAACAATGAAAATCCATCCTGCATATCAGATATTTACATTACGATTCATAACAGTAGCAAAATTACAGTTATAAAATTTTCGTAGCAATGAAAATAAATTTATGGTTGGGGGTCACCACAACATGAGGAACTATATTAAAGGGTCGAGGCATTAGGAAGGTTGAGAACCACATAGACACTTCCAGTGAAGAGCCCACTGCTACAAACTGTATGAAAGGCAGAGGCTCGAACGGGGAGGGTTAGAGAAGACACAGCTGCCCCGTCACCCTGAGCAACTCTGCCATCACGTCCCTGACTCCTTAAGTGAGGGAATGTGTAGGGCTTAGCCAAAGAGATAGGACCAGCTGCCAAGGCCAGAGCTGGGCTTGGGGTGCGGAGGAGGGATGAGGTTGGGGAAGGGGTGGAGCCTTGGTTGTAGTAACAGTGGCAGCTGGAGCCCCTCCCCCAACAACACAGTTCACGGAGAATGAGCTTCAGGAGCTGCGTGGGTGTGATGACAACGCTCACCCCTCCTTCCAAAGGGGCCAGGACACTGCCTGTGACCCTGGGAGGAGGGCTGGGAGAAAGGGGTGGGGGGACAGGGTGAAAGGAGAAAACCAACAGCAAGGTGTGTTTATGGTGACCCGGAGGATGGGACCCGGCCACTGACTCGGCATTCCCTGGCTACCAGGTGGCGTGTGGTTTTAGTTTCTCCAAAACGGACGTAAGAGACGTTAAAAATAGCTCAGCAACTCTCAACACTTTGCAGCACTGTTGGGAAAAAAAGGGGGGGGGGCAGGAAAATGCAAGAGACAGAAGCAAGCAGCTCTCAGGTGAGGAGGGTCAGGGGAGCAGGGGAAGGGGCGCTATCCGGACAGATGCATCTGAGAGGCAGGAGAGGAGAAGGAAAGCCCTGCAGACAAGGAGTGGCCGCAATTGCCCACAGGGACTTAAAGGCACAGCGCTCACCACCCCTCCGAAACCCAGCATTCTCCCGGCAGAGCAACCAGGCCCAGCTCCAGCGAGGGAGACGGCACTGAGAGCCGGCTCTCCAGAAGAAAACTCATTACCCGGACGTTTTTTCTCCCGAAGGACGGAAAAAAGCCTTGTTTACACCTTTTACCCGTGTTGACACTGCTCCTGGCGGTCTAGTGTCTGGTGAGCCCTAATCTGCTTTTAAATACTTAGGCAAACAGATCCCTCCACAGTAAGTCAGGATTAGTTGTGCTTCACTTCCTGGTCCCTGTGAGTGACCCCACAGTGACCCCTGACCATTTCCAGGCCAAACTCTGGGCTGCATCTGGGCTGCAGCTGAGCAGCCGCCCCAGCACCCCCAAATGCAGCTCTGGCGCCCGCGGGGACAGGCGTGCTGTCTCCACTTGGGCCAAAACACAGGCCCCGGCACATGGGCAACGTCCCTGGGACAGCAGCGCAGGCGAGAGTCGGACGCCCCAGCCACACCGCGAGCTCAAGCTCTTTAAGAACCTTATTTAAAATGTATTAAGCATATGTTGATGCATTTCATAAATCACCCACGAGAAAGAGCAAGACGTGAATGAGATGAAAAGCAACAGTGGTGAAGGATACGTCCAGGTCTTCAAGTTCCAATTTGCTAACTCTAATTTGGGGTAGGCATTAAAATCAGAGCTGTTTTATTCTGCTCCGCTTGGTTTTAATCCTCACTGCCAGTCACCCAGGGATGAACCGAAGAGCAGAACGTGGAAATCTAGTCCGGGCCGCAATGATTCCATTTTCTTTGTGATATTCAAATGCCCCAAAGAATGAGGGTGAGCCCACAGCTTCTGCATCCTCTCCTGTGGGGCATGTGCGGGGTGGCCGTCACCCCACAGACAAGTTCACCTGAATTCACTGAACTCGACGACCCGCGTCTGAATGAGCATCCTGTTTAAACTGTGCTCTGCTCTGAAAAGTCAGTGTTTAAAGGCTGTTCTGGGTTGGGTGGGGCTAAAAATGCTGGCTCTTTGGGGCACCTTCACCAGGAGAAGGGCTCTAATACTGTGTGTACGGAACTAGGGGCAGGGTGTTGGAGGGGCTGCGTTAGCCTCTCGGCTGGTCCACCTGCGACCCTGCGGGCGGGCAGGGTGACTATTCCTGATAAGGGCTTTAGCACCTCCAACACCTGCAGAACAGGCTGACACATGCACGCCTGAGGGCACTGCAAGGGACCGGGCAGGTGCGGAGCCTCCAGGTGGCCTCTGGATGGGCTGCCTCTCCCTGCCCCATGCCCCTCACCCTCCACTAGGACACCCCCAGGTCTGATCAAGGTGTGGCTTTTACTACTGGACAGAACCACAGCTTTTCACCAAAGCTTCTTGTGCTGTGGATCCCACAGGACTGCAATGTTTCGGTGTATTTTCAGACACCAAGAGGCAGAAAGCTGAGAAGTCGGGCCACTGGGCTCCCTGCTGTTCCGGGTGCTTCTTTTCTACAGCTGAAATCCAGCCCACAGGGACAGAGGACTCCAGTGGGTATTCTGGGTACTATTACTATCACGTAGACCCCCTTTCCTGCGCTTGTTGCCCCCCCACACACACACACTAGGGGAAGCTGAAATCAGGGTGCTTTTTGCAGAGACCACAGGGAGAGGAAATAGCCGTGGCATCAGCATTAGAGACCATGGGGTTCGTGTGTCTGCTTTGTTCTCTGTGCTGCAGACTTTTGCAACCTCCCTAACGCCTTGGTCCGCCTTTCTTCATCTGTAAAATGGGCACAGTGATGTCTACAGCAGGCACGGTGGCTGTGGATGTGAGGCCACGTGTCTGGACGATGTGCTGGCCACAGCTGTCACTCTGCACAGGGCAGCTGTGGAGGGTGTTGTGAGTGAAAAGAATAACATCTGTTATGTCACTTTGCTATCAGGTAGGTAAGAGCTCGCCTCTGGGCTGCTGTGTGTGCGACACAGACGTGCTGACTACACGGCGGGTGGGGCCGAAGTGCCTGCAGGATGCTTCGGTCTCTAAATCCCAGTTGTCTGTACAAATGAGCTTCCCATGGTCTCCGTGCCTGGCAGGGTGAGAGGGGGCCCTGGCCAGGGGCCTTGATAAACCCATCCGTGTCTTATGGGCCACCCCTCCTCCCAGGCAGGAGGGCCCGAGGCACTGGGGTGAGAGGTGCTCAGTTGGTTCACATATCCCATGGCTGTTAGGATCTCTTGGCCAAGTCTGGCCAGCCCTTGCCTACAGCCTTGAGATATCTAAAGTCTTCCTGGAAGTTTGGACTGAGTTATGTCCCCTCCCCCAATTCAAATGTTGACCCCCCGATGCCCAGTTGTAATGCATTTGGAGGTAGAGTGTGTAGCAGGTAATTCAGGTTAAATGAAGTCATGAGGGTAGGACCCAATCTGATGGGACTGGTGCTTTATGAGACACTGGACACCTCTCTTTCTCTTTCTCTTTGTCCGTCTGTCTCTCTGTGTGCACACAGGGAAGAGACAGACCATGTGAGAACACAGCGAGGGGTCGCCATCTGCAAGCCAGGAAGAGGCCTCACCAGAAACCAACCCTGCTGACACTTTGACCTTGGACTTCCAGCCTGCAGAGCTGTGAGAAGGTCAGTGTCTGCTATTTAAGCCCCTAGGTCTCTGTCATTCTCTTTTGGTTTCTGTGCCAACAGTTCACATGTTAAAGGTGGACACGCGAACGAAGATGCTTTTTCTGCCTAAAACCAAATATTCTGTTAAAACCATTCGCCCCAAGCAGCCATGATGCAGAAGCACAAACACCCTCATTGTCGCCCTGATGTCCCAGTCTCGTCTCCGGGACCCCCTGTCTTGGCTGTGCTTTAATCTCCCCCAAGGAAGGCCAGTTCAAGAGCAGAGGAGCCGGCAGTACATCACCTCCCCTCATTCCAATCCCCTGGAGGCCCGCTGCTCACAGCCCCTGTTAGCTAATGAGCTAAAAAATGAATTATTGGCATGGCCGGCCGTCAGCAGGAAGGAGGAGGCCGGCTCCTCATTTGAGCCCCTTGCTGACACACCTTTAAATAAATCAACCGCACAGAGCGAGAGAAAATGAGAGAACAAGCAACTAATCAGAAGACAGGCACACTGACCAAATCCCCCCCAAATAAAGACACAATTGAAGGCAAGGGAGTAAACATTTTCTTCTCTTCCTGCCTAAAACAGAGATATTTTGTAGGTGTATCCCCTCCTCCCCGGGCCCCGTCCAAGAAATCACGTGGTGTGTGAGCCACAGGATTTGGGGATCAGAGGATGGGGGTGGGTGGGTAAGGTAGCAGGAGCTGTGTGTCCACTGAGGCTCTCAGAGCTCTGCTGGGCTCAGATGGTGCTCAGGTCCTGCAGCCCAACAGACCAGGCTTTGCCACACTTGACCTTGAGGGGTGATGGTATGGCCAAGGCTCTGTGTGTCCCCCAAAGATGATCCCT